TTGCTCCTCTGTCTCCACAGGAAGGAAACTGAGGCTCAGAGTGAGGTTCCATGGCTTTCTCCATCAGGTACTAGAGGCAAGCATAGGTTTCAGGGTGTCTCTGGGTACAGATCTCCCGGGTCCTCCGAAGAGTGAGATACTGAGATTGCCTGAGGCCTACTAGGACAAATGGCTTCATTTTTAGGATTGGTTTTTACCAATAAATAGTCAATAACCCATTGTCATGCACTGTAGGCAATAACTAATGATGGGTTTTTGCCTCTGGGACCAGAGATGGAGAGGAGGGGGCACAGTGGAAGATGTTCCTTGGTCACTTGGGTTTCCTAGTCTACAGAACAAGGCTGCGCCGTCACTGCTGAGCGCTCCATACGTGGTAGCCTGTGACTTCCCAAAGAAATCTGGAGAGGCCACACGCCAAGTAGTTGCGTGCCTTGATGGTTTGCAGAACTCCTTCCTGTCTTCAATCTGTCTGACCATGACAACTGTTGAGTGCATTTAATTGGTCCTTTGACGCTTTCTGGGCTTCCAACAAATCCCCTGAGCTTTTGCTGGATCACATGGTGGCAGGAGTTGGCAGCTGACTGAGAACTGGGCCCTCACACAGGATGGGAAGGGGTGGGGATCAGAGCAGAAAGGCACAGATGCGAGGGGCAGGAGGTACCCTCCCTGCAGCCCAAGGGTGAGGTGAGTCCCCTCCCCCATCTTCATCCACGAGGGGCCCAAGGCACAGAGGAACAGAAGGAGAAGGGCAGTGACAGCACAGACGGGGAAGATGGGGGGAAAAAAGCAACCACCACAGGCTCTTTGATCTTAATTCATTTTATTCTACAAAATGCTACTCAATGGAAAGTGGGAAAGCTAACAACAACAACGAGAACATAAAACAAAAATAAACCCCAAGGGAAAATAAGTTTTAATATGTTCTTTCCTCCATAGCAGCAAGCTTCTCCCAACAAGCTTTTCTTAGTGCAAATACTGTAGGCTTGTGTCACGTACAGCACACAGAACAACACAACACGCACCACCAGAGATGCTTCCGAGCAGGGATACTCCTCAATTTTGAAAACTATACAATGATTTTTGAGCATACGGTCCTGCCTGGAGAGTTTGACTAGAGAGACCCTCCAATAGGGCCATTTCACCATCACTTTAAAAGTAGGGGATAAAAGGTGCCCAGAAAGGTCATTAGAATTCCCCCACGGAGCCATAAAACCTTGTACAAATCATTTGCTTCCAGGGTCGAATAGCAGACTTCACTTCACGTCATCGACATATCCCAAATACAGATATACAGAACTCGAGTTTCCACTATATACCAAAATACGATATATACACCTCCCACTGCAAAAGGAACCCTGATACCTAGTCTTTATACAGTTGAATATTTTCTCCCTCAAAATCAAGTAACCACAAAGTAAAATAAATGGAATATTTTTTTTTAATCATACAGAGAAAGGTAAGTTTTGAGAGACAGGGCCTGGGTCTTTCATTGTGTTCTCGTACAATGTGGTAAGATTTGTTAGCAGCCGCTGTCCCCAGAGGAATGACAATCCATCTTTAAAAACAGAACCTTGGAATACAGTTTATACAGCACAAGTCCACAAGTCACTTTAGGAACAAACAAACAAAATAAAGCATCATTATCCTAAGTTAGAAAAAAGGAGTGGTGATGGGGGGGGGGGGGCTGAGTACTTTAATGCTATCAGTTTCTATTCAGGCTTAGAACAACACAAAGAAGATGTAAACATTTAAAATAAATAATAAAATAAATGTCAATTTCTTCTCCCCTTTTCCTTCCCATACCCTCTGTGAGAATTTGACCCAGCTCTTCCTAAACATGTTGTCAGCACTGGACAATGACCACCATTTGGTGAGGTGTGGTCAGGCCAAAACACTAGAAGCATGAGAAGACACCAACTTAGCAATGGGACACTTGTTTTCCTTCTTTAAAAAAACAAACAAACAAACAACAAAGCTGCAGGAGGATACAAGCACACGCTCACACACATGGGAATACGAATGCAAACACACACGCACACCAACACGCACAAGTCCCGCCCCAGTCAATAAATAGTGAGATGCTGGCTTGAAGATGGACGCCCGGACGACTCGAGCAGAATGCGGCAAGACCCCATTACTTACGTTTAAAGGAAAGCCATACACGCTACAAAGCCTATTGGTCCACAAATTCTATGAGAACTCAGGTTGCCCCTTCAGTCACCTGAGGAGCACAGGCCAGGGGGGAGGAGCCTGGGGTGGGCAGGTGCTGCTGGGGTTGGGGGATGAGTATCTGAGAACCATCAGACTAAAGGCAACGCCCACCTGAGGTCTTTGAAGAAAGCCCTCTCATCTCCAAGTGTTTTTGTTTAGCCATTACTTGGGACTTCTCTAGAAGGAGACGAACCCTTGGCTCCATCTTAAAAGGGGATAAATATAAAAGTGCCTCGTAGTGCCTGGCCCACAGTGGGTGCTCATTCCTTTCCTCCCGAAAGAGGCCACATGAATACCTGCTCAGGGAAGGAAGTCATCGTGGAAGGTAAACGGTGACACCTCAAGGAACACTTTAGCTCTCTCGGGAAAATTGGGAGAAACAAATCCGGATGCTTCACACAGCCTGGGAATCAGACTTGGGTTCTCCCTCCCCGAAGCCAAGAAAGCGCCAGCTCTGGTCAACTGTTAGCTCTGACAGCAGCATCCGGAAACTCCTCCCCCAAGGAAACCAGTTGCTTGCTATTGGCTCCCCTCACTGGGGCTCCTCTCTTTCCTGTGCCAGGACTGTCCCTAGATAGCTAGCTGGAGGGAGGGCTGTTCTCCCAGAGGCTGGGTGGCTATGAGGACTGTGTTTCATGCTAGCTGATTAAGGAGTGCCTGCCCTATGCCAGCCCAGAGCTGCTCACATTCCAGCCCAAGTTCACGTCAGCTGAGGACACACATGAGGAGACGAGACACCTTGTCTGAGCACAAAGCACCCTTCCCTGAGCCCTGCTCCCTGAACTGGAGGCCGGACAGCAAGCCAGGCACCTGACTCCGGAGCACAGCTGTATGTGTGAATGATATGTATGGGAAAGGACTTGACAGTGAGCCAGAAGGAAGCCAACTGAGGTTCCACCCACAGTCTGGGTGTGAACATCCAGCTTTCCCCTCGGAAATCTGTCTTTGGAAAGCCATGAAGTCTGTAGGATGGAGCAAACAGGTCAGAAGGGAAAATGTCTCAGAGGTCTGAGGCCCAGGTTAGTTGGCTGTGCCTTCTGGTACTGATGCCAACACAGCTTGAAACCTGAAGTGAGAGCTAGACTCGGGGCGGGGGGGGGGGTGTCTCAGGAGTGTCCAACTGGGGCACCAAGTCCCGGGACCTGTGACCAGTGCCGAGATCCATGCTATGGAGAGTGGAGCAGAAAGGGGCTTTGGGAAATAAGAGAATAAAAGCAGGTTTGTTTCAGAATCAGCCATGGGCACAAGGAGGGAGAGAGCTCCCACTTGGCTTGAGATGATAAATGTTTCTGGACTGAGGTCACCCCCCGGTATTTACCCAGCTCCTGCTACTCCCAGCCATCTCCTGTTTCTAGGAGGAGTCTGAGGCCAGGAAGCCACCTGCTCCGTCTCCTCAGGAGCACCCTTCTCAGCGGCTCTGGGAGACCAGACTGGCAGCGTTAGAGCCAGGACACACAGGACAGAGCATCTGGAAATTATTCTGAACAAAAATCCTTTCTCCTCTCATCTCCCTCTCTACCCAGAACCCCTGCCCCTGTCACTTTCAGTTCTGCCGGGCTGTGCAGGCTTCCCACATGGCTCCTGGATCCTGTGTATTCTGCATGCATGCCAGTAGGTCATGGGATCAAATCATGGCCGGCACATGTGAACTTGGGTTGACAAAGGCCTGTGCCCGTGAAGGTCCGTGGTGTTGTCCCTGTCCTCTCCAAACTCAGAATTTCACCACTGGGCTTGGTTCAAGTAACATGGCTTTAGATAGGATCTTTAGAGTGGAAACACTAGGTCAGAGCATTAGCGCTAGAGACCAGTTCTGACCGGACTCCACTTCCCATACCTGTGTGAACATGCAGGAGGGAGACAGCGATGGGATGCGGGGGCAGGAGGATGCCTTTGCTGGAGGCCAGGGCAGCCATGAGAAGGAACACATGCTAGCTTTGCTAGAATCGGCAGAGACACCCCAAGCCCTAGCAAGACTGGCTCAGACCAGTGACTCCCAACTGGCCGACCGGGTCAGGAGGTCACTCTGGAGTGGGCCACAGAAGTATCAAAGGAAAAGCATTCATTCATCAATGGCAGGGACCACTGAGAGCAGGAGAGGGGGGATTCCCACACCTCGCTGATAGGAGAGCAGCCAGGAAAGGCTAGGGACCTGGGGGCTGCTGCTGCAGACAAAATCACAGCCCCACACATCACCCCAGCTACTCTACCTGGGGTTGGAAGAAAAACCATTAGGTCAAAATTGGGGGAGGGTCAAGGCCCACACTCATTCAGTATCTATGGGTGGCTTCACCCTGAGAGCTGGGGAAGGGCAGAACCCAGCCGGGCTTCGGAGTGGTGTGTGGTTCCGAGGAAGGGATACCTCCTTGGTCTGGAGAGAAGGGTCCAGGGCAGAATGGTGAGGCAGTAATTACAGGAGACGCTCTGCTCAAGACGTCAGGTAAGGGAAGCTCACTAGGACAGCCACGTGGCTTTGTTGGCACTAATCCTGGCTTGGTAATTAGGCGTTTGGCAAACCCAACCTGTGTCCTGGTTGTCGCACTTACACCCTGTCTTCTGGCCAAGCCGATCCTCCAAAAGACGGACATCTCTCTCCAAGGCTGGGGAGGGAGGAAAGGTCCTTGGTGTAGCCCGGTGGTGACCGCCGCACCTGTAGAACTCAGGGAGCCAGCTGGTGGTCTGAGACGGCAGTGCGCTGGCGTGTGTGGGGAGGGAAGGTTCAATAATATTGCACATTGACTGCCCCTTCGGGACATGTCCGCCCCAGTGGAAGAGTCACCTGCTCCCCCAGCTCCGGAAATAAAAGCGCTTTAATATCCAGACCACCCAGATGAAATGTCATGGCAAATCTCATAAAAACCCAGAGGGAATGGACCTGGGGGGGGGGGGGGGGCCCGCCAAAACGAAAGGCACTGAGCATGCTTGGTGGGGCAGGAAAGGACACCAGCACTCCAGAGACAACAGCATAACAGAGGGACAGGAACCATCCGGGCAAGCTCTAGGTGCTTCAGAAGCAGGAGAGGTGTCGGAGTCCACCAAACCAAGTTCTCCTCGGCTTCTCAAGAAAGAGGATTTGCTTGCAAGATGAATGGGGGAAGGGGGAGGGTCCCGGGGCTTCTAAGAGATCAACCAGTGCCTCACCACTAAGTCCCATTGGGTCCCCAGAGCCAAGGTCCCCCTCTTGCCCTCATGACCCTGGAGCGCTTAAAGGTACTGGTCCCGGGGAAAGGTGACAATGATGATGACTCCTCCAGAGCTGGCCAGAGGAGCAGGGGGTTACAGGGCCAGCAGTGTGGGGGAGTTCAAGGAGTCTGAAGACTGGTCCCCACTGCTGCTGCTTCTGCGGTGAGCCTTGGAGCAGGACTCCGAGGGCGACGCGGGAGACTCCTGTTCCAGGACACTGGGGTAGGTGAAGACAAGGTTTGAAGTGCCTGGAGTGATGGCAGGTGTGGAGGTCACCACGATGGGGGTGTGCAGAGGCTCTTCCCCATAGAAACCACCCCCAGCAATGCTGATGGGCTTGATGACAGAGCGCTGGGTCTTGTCCATCCCTACCACTGAGGAAGAGGGGCTGTCCTCTTCCAGCGGCTCCTGCTTCACCACCACGGCGCCCGCACCACGCATGGGCTGCAGCCCGGAGGTCGGGGGCGACCGGCGCTCCTCGGGGCTGATTTTGCACACGGGGCCGTGGGCCACCAACATGAACTCCAGCTTTTCCTTCTCCTTCTGTAGCTCAGCAATCTCTTTCTGCAGACCAGATTTCTCTTCCTCCAGCTCCTCTGTCTCCTGTGAGGGGAGAGAAGGGTGTGAGGGACAGGCTGACCTGAGGGATCCACGGTGTCCTCAGATGACCTACCACAAGCGTCTCACACACCTAGCCGGAGAGCTAACTGGGTGTGAGTCACATGGAGGCTCAGTCCCTTTTATTTCTGAAGGGGGAAAGTCGGCTTGTGGGGCAGGCGAGTTAACCTCTGGAGCCACTGCAATTGAGCACTTACTACTCCACCGAATTATGCACTCAACCCTCCAGGAATTTCTGAAAGCAGACGTTATCATCGACCCATTTTGAAGATGAGGAAACTGAGGCTCTGTGAAGTTATAGAGTTATACCTCATCTGCCCGGAGTTATAGAGCTAGCGGGGAGGGTTGGCCAGATTTGAATCCCAGTGCATCTGACCCGAGTCTGCATGCTAGCTAGCTACTGCACTGAACCCTCAGGATGCCAGTGCTGCCTTTGGGCCCTCCAACAGGTTAGAGTGGGTTACTCATAGAGTGGTTTACTCATAGGAAGCTCACCCTTCCTCTACCATTCCAGCCCACTAGTGGACACAGATGCTGGGCTGGACGCTTCATGAGAGTGGACTCATGTGCAATCCTCTGCCCTCAGTACTGGACCAAACAGCACGCGGCTTACAATACACGCTCACCCGATCCCTGTCGGATCCTCCCTCCTTTCCTACTCTAGTTTCTGAAGCCCACGTTCCTAGAGACACCAAGGGACACACTTAGTTCCACTGAGTGCCCACTAGAGGGGCACCTGACAGCTGGAAAGAGTGGTGAGGATGCCAAGATGACCTGTGTAAGCCTCCACTTCCCTCTTCACACACAGCCAGCCGCACACACAGCTGGGGAGCAGAGAGGCCTGCGTCACCAGTCTCCTCCCACTTTTTCTCTCCCACAGATTCCCATTCACAAAAGAAGAGATCCGGGCAAGAGCTCCATTAAGCACAGCGCGGTGTATTCCGGAGCGAAAACAAGAAGTTTCCGTCTGTCTCAAGGGCCTGACGAACGTCAGAGGCTTCCTGTGGAGGATGTGGCTCAGAGGCCTGGGTAGCTGGGTCAGGACGTGGGGGAGGCAGAGAAGCAGGGTGTGAGACTTCTGGGAAGAGGGGAGGAAAGCAGGGAGGTCTCAGAGGAGTCCTGCTCTGGGCAGGTGGTGAGGGATGCCCTCAGGGAGTCACGGGAAGGCATGGCTCCTTGGGTAGGAGAGAATGGCTAGCAGTGGAAGGCTCCAGCTCCGTTGAGGGCGCTTCCTGTGGTGGGCTGATCGTTCCCTGGTCTGCCTCATCTGGGAAGGAAAATGTCTACTACCATGCCCACTCTGACACTCCCACAAGCCACGAGTACAGGCACTGTGGCTTTCGCCAAGTATATATTCTAGTGAATGTGCCCAAAGGAAACTGTTTAAAGCAGATACATTGTACCTGGAAGGATTAAATAGAATCTAAATCTCGCTACTAGTGAGTCACCATTCTCGACTCATCTGCTCTCTCTGAGAGCATTGTGTCCCAGGGAGTCAGCACTGGCTTGGGAGCTCTTCTACCAGATGTGCAGTCCTTCCTTTAGGGCCAGACACAGAAGGAAGTTACAGAACATTGGTCAGGTCAAGCTTAGAAGAGGGAGGGGCAGGACCATAAGTCCCCGGGTCTGGGCAATTAGGGAACATAGGAGAGTGACTCACAAGGACAGAATAAAGCTCTCAGCTCGCCGTAGAGGTGGGAAACCTCCCTGCCAATGAAGGATAGGCAGAATCTCCAAAAAAAAAAAAAATAACTAAACAGACATGTGACCTGTCTGCATGAGGATGCTTGCTCCCACCCCACTCAAACCAACCAGGGTGCTTCAGCTAGGCTGGGCCACCTTTGCTGGTTTTGGGCATGGGGGGCAACTGGAACCCTGAGAAGGAGTCATGGAGAAGCCGCTATGGATGAGCCCACCCAAGCTCACTGGAACTGTGGGTCAACCCTTACCCAGAAGCCCCAGAGGATCTGAGAACAGAGTGTGCTCAAGTGCTGAGTGAGAAAACATACTGGCCCAGAAAGGTGGTCCTGCCTCTCTCCAGACCCACACATATAGCAAAGGCCGATTCGCATACATTATTTATCCATTCTCCTGACTTCCACCCCTCATTTAGCATTAATGTTGACCCATGTGCTCAAAAGAAAGAGTGTTCCATCTCTCCTGACTCGTCAGTAAGAAACGGGACTGAAAGGGCAGGAGCCCTGCAGCCCACAGTCCACCCGGGGCAACCCCGCGCCACTCACCGCTTGCAGCTTCTCTGTCAGCTCCCGGCGACGGTTCCGACACTTGGCTGCAGCCAGCTTGTTCCTCTCCCGCCGAATTCGACGCTTCTCCTCTTCTTCAGGAGACAGCTAGAGAGGCCAAGGTGAAGAGTCATGATCAGAATGGTGGGGAGGGTTCGCAGCAGTTTTAAAAAGCCGTATTGTAAGAACTACAACCTGTCCTTTGAGAATCGGGGAGGGAAGAGATAAGTGGGCAGGCTCAGAGACCCCAGGGCGTGAGATCGCACTGTGTGGCTGCCTGGAGGGGGCTTGATGGTGGATCTGCCTTGAACGTTGATGATGTACGTTTAAAGGGACAGCAGAACAAGAGTGGGTAAGGAACTCAGGGGCCCTGCACCAGGGCAGGGTTAGTCTGTCAAAGCCTAAGCTAAAGAGAGTCCCCTCCAGCAAGCTAGGCCTGGCTCCACCTGCTTTGGCTACTTCCTCCAGAGCCTAGCTAATTACCCCCATCACTCTGCCTGCTCTCAGAGCCTCACCACCCACCTTTGATTATGTAGAGTCTCTACACAGGTGAGACCCACCCATGGGGGTTTGTACCGATACACTGTCATTAATGGGGGGGCATGGGTACCACTCTATTCCCAATCCTCTGCCAACTTGAGTCCTCCCTGAGGACTCCTTGGGAGCTGCCTCAGTGCTCGACTGGGCAAGAGAAAAAGCAGCCTAGACAGGAAAGTCCCACCGACCAGTCTTTCCGCTTATCTGACAATGGCTGTCTATTACTATGAGACATAATTTCAGGAGTTGGGGCTGTGAACTGAAACTCCCTGCGAAGAGATCAGGAACTAGCTCCTTCTGGCAAACCAGCCAGAAACTCTTAACTCTGTCCACACACACTGCCAAGGAGAGGGCCAGGGGACAAAGCACAGCACAGGGTAAAGGGAAGGCCTTCCCGTTTAGCTACCAGACAAATGCATGCCTACTGGGTGCCTATGCTTTGCTAGGGGCTTCAAAGAGTCTAAGCAAGACAGGACCTGAGTCCTGCCTTTAAGGGACACCTGGGGGAAAAGCTGAAGCTACCCCACAGAGAGATGCTACCTAACTACAGACCGCACCATGGGGAACAAGTCATCTGTGGTAGCTGGGCCCACGTTAGGATCCCAGGAAGCTCCCTGCCATCCTGGCAGTCCATGGCTGCAAAGTCCTGAGCAGCCAAGAAAGGCATCAAAGTGGATAAGTCTATTCCAGCCACACACAGATGACCCTACCAGAAGTCACAAGACCATTCAGCCAAGACCTACTCCCAAACCTGTCTTGAGTCCAAGTCTTACAAAGTTAGTTACCAAGAAAGCCTGTGGTTTTGTGGCAGTCCTGGGTTGAGGTTTCTTCACAGACCCCTGGACTCCACTAAGGCCCAGCACCATCCCCTCCCCACTTTACTGCTAACGGAGGGAGGAAAAAAAAACCTAGGCTAGGTTCGAAGCAGGCCTTCCTCCTACCTTAGAAGTCTCTTAGCCTTAGAAGTCTCTCCCTGTCTGGGGAGGTGTGGGGCAACTGTGGGTACTGTCGCCATAGGAAATGTTCTGGGGTGGTGAGATCAACGTGGTTACTGCTTGAGTGTTGTTAACATCACCAGGGACCCACCCACAAGCCACACACACACCCTCCCCTCCCTTCTCCTCAGTCCCCACCCTGGGCTCAGAGGAGCCTTCTGGGCAGGCTTTGGAGGAGGCCACGAGGCCAAGCTGACTCCTGGGATAAGCCTTGGGGTAGAGAGGGAAGAGGGGGTAGAAATAAGTCACAGAGAAAGCTCTAGAGCCAGGAACCCCAAGAGCCAAGGTTCTACCATGTGGCCTCCACAGAAAACAGTGTGATGTGGTTAGCAGTCCTCTGAGCTCCTGACTGAGTGATCGGCTCTCTCCCTCCCTACCACAAGAGGAAGGATGTCTCCAGACAGTTGATCTTGAAGCACACCGAGGTGGTGTGGCATCAAAAACACCCAGCTGAAGGTCAAGGGGGTAGATCCCAGTCTCTGGGCAGGGCCCTTCCTTCTAGATGTCATCTATGAGTTAGGTTCAGGGGGAAAATTCGGAGGCACCCTCCTCAAGTCCCTCCTGGGTGCAACTTCTGAATGCAGTGTGAGGTAGGCCCAGTGGACAAAACATGTGGGACACGCCATGCTGCTATGCCAGCCCACAGGAGCCTGGCTGCCAGTCAGCACTGTTTTTATATTTATATAGTTACATATATTATATATCATATTTTTCTATTTACAGTCTGGCATGTCAATGTGATGAAGCATTGATACAGTGTGGGTAGCTCAATTACAAAGAACAGTGGGGTCACTACTACAATACCTGTTAACCTGTGACTACTGGAAGCCCCCAGAAGGGCCACTAGCTCCCCACACATGCGTGACTGTACCTCAGTGTCTACAACACACAGCCCCCCGAGGGCTCTGTACTGTGGCCCCAATGTTAACAGCTAGCAGCCATGAAGTCCTTTGTCTTCAGATGAACACAGTTCCTGGGGAAGCTTCCAGGTCCTTGGAGTGGGAGCCCTGTTAATCAAGGCATTTTTGGGAAGACTGCTGGTTCTGGGTCCATCACTATGCCCTGTTAAAAGTACTAGGCTATGGTGGACCATGGGGACCCTGGAGACCCTGGAGTAGAAACAGGCTGGAGCTGGAGAAAAGGCTCCCGCGGTTAACAAGAAGGCTTTATCAGATTCGCGTTTCATTTGAAAAGGAACACACACTGCTGAAGGGCTCCCTTCTCCAGGTTCACAGTGGCATGGCCTCGTGGGAGGGGCACTGGGATGGGAGACAGAAGAGATCTTCGAAGGCCTGCATCCTCCCTGCCAAGTCAGTTCTCTCTCAAAGCTGAGCCTCCGGAGGAACCTACTGTGTGACCTCTATCCCCCCCGCCCCCCCAAAGCTAAACAGACTACTCGGGCCCAGATCATGATACTTCCGGAACACACATTCCAGGAACCGGAAAAGGACTGCAGCTTTGATCTAAAGGTCTGGACACATGGGTGACCATAGCCCTGTCCTATGGCACTCACCTAGTGGCTCCCACTCAGGCCCAGGGCAGGGCACGACTGTAGAAGGCCATGACAGGTCACATTCACTGAGAGCTTATACATACTAAGTGTTCCCCAACTCAAGAACTCCCTCAAGCGCCAGCGAGGAAGTGTTCGTGAGGCCCACCCTCCCCCAGCTACCAACGAGCCATTCTTCTCCGCTAGCTAGGGGCACACCTGCTCATCTCTCCTTCTGCGGCCCACGGTGGTACCGATGGTCTTGATCACGCCGGGTCTGGGGAGAGCCATGTGCCCAGGTACTGAAGCCAGGCCTGGCAGCGGGCTGTAGGGGTGTGAGCGTGGATAAGGGTTGGACATGGAGGTAATCACTGTGGGCTGGACCATCCACTGCAGGTCCTGGCTGGTGGTGATGGTGTTGATGGTAGGGATGAAGGCGCTGCCCGAGCCAGGCATATCTACCCGGAACTTCTGAAACAAGGAGAAAGACATGACACTGAGCCGAGAGACAACAGAACAGGACGAGCTGAGCCAGAGCCAAGGTCAAAACCTACAGACTTCAGGGGTTAAGGCTTGATGGCAAGGTCAGAAGCCAGGTGGGCTTCCCTGGACAAGTCCTACATAGACAAAAATCAAGCCGACCTTACCCATCCCTGTCTGGAGTCCTGAAGACCACGTTCGCAGGGGCTCCGGGAGGATGTGGCCACATCCCAAGTGACTTCCAGGACACACGTGAGGCTGAGCCACTCACAGTCACCCTGCAGCCCTCCCTCCAGGCTATCTACAGGATGTTTCACCTTAGCCGCCTGGGGCCTCTGAGTCACCTACCAATTACTCCCCAGGGTACTGGCTCAGGACACATTTCTTAGAGATGTACACACCACTAGATCAAGAGAGATCACTACAAGTATACTGTGTCTGCTTTTTGTCACTTTCAAAGGAAGTTCATGATGAGCCTATATGTCTGTAAGATCAAGGTCAAGTCGAGAAGGCTGAATCTTCAGCTGTTTATTAGAAAGTCTATTATCAGGGGGTGGGATTGAAGCCCATGGTCTGACTTTGTAACCAGAATTCCTCTTGCTGTCTTCGACGCTGCTCCTTTGCCTTCACTGGCACCTACCTTGGGGCAGCTGCCCTGTATCTATCACTACCATCGACATATCTATCTACCTGGGCTCACATATCTATCTACCTGGTCTGCAGGAAAAGGTTGGTGCTGCCAGGTCAGAGGACTCCCCTTGTCCTTCATTTATGTCAGGATCATGTTCCAGAGCTCTGTGAGCTGCAGGAAATGGTCTATTTCAAACCCAACAAGACCAAATATCAGAGCACCATACATCAGGCCCCTCAGCTACCACATTACTGTTAGGGTCAGAGCCTGGGCTCCATAGCCCTAACTAGCCAGGCTCCACACCCATCGCCAGTAGGCCAATTAAAGCAGCAACAGAGGGAAATAGAAAAGGGAGATTTAGTCAATGAGACCATATTAAGAGAGGGACACAGATGCCCAGTGACTCCCCAACCTGTCTACAGGATCAGGACACAAGATTGAAGTTTAAATGGAGGGCAAGAGGCACGTAGCCTTAGTCAAGATGTGGTCCTGCCCTCATCACCGTCTTCAGTCTGTTCTGTGAGATGCTCTGACAGGTTGTCATTCTGTGTCATTCTGTGTTGACCCGTCCTGGGAGTCAACACAAATCCAGTTTCTTGGTGACATTGTTCCAAGGGTCCGATGGCCAAAGGAGGGACACAAGTGTCTCTCTAAAACATCTTCCCTCCCGCCAGAATGGCTACAGCTGGCCTTGAACCTTCTCCAGGACAGCTCCTGAAAAGTAAGAGAGGCCAAAAGGGAAGCCCCTCCCATTTCCAGCATTTCAGGAGAAGACTCTCTACGAACCCAGTCAAAAGCCCACCCTCAGATCATCTGTGTTCACAAGAACATCTCACGGGGAAAATGACGCCAGTCATAATAGCTAGCACTTACACAACACACAACATCATGCTAATGTCTTGCCTAGATTACCCAATTAATTCTCCCTCCGAGGTAAGTACCATATTATCTTCATCTCAGAGGCAGAAACAGGCTGAGAGACTCCAAGCCACTTATTTAAGGCCATATTGTTGCTAAGCAGTGGGGTCAGAGTTCAAAGCCAGCTCAAGATGACCGAGACTTGTTGAACTATCTTGGTTGTTGAGGCGCCTCCACCACACACATTTCTCTAGCCTTCTTTCTTTCTCAAATGCCAGCCCTGCGTGCTGGGGTCCACCCAGTACCAAGGGTCCTTTCAGGCCCCGCCTCTCACCAAGGAGGTCTAATAGATTGGTTCCACACAAAAGCAAACCCTGCTATCATTTGCCCAGGCACTATAGTAGCCCCCAACTGGTCTAGTTAAAACAAACAAGTAACAAGCGGGCACCTCTGTTGTCTTTACCCCTGCTGATAACACCGCAGGTGTGAAGAGAAGAGAAGCCCACAGACCCCACACTGCACCTGGCAGAGCTGATCCTGCCACCCACCTGACTCCAGGCCCTGTGGTAGAATGCCACCGCCTCACTTCCCAGATTGCTCCAGCACATGAAGGCTCCCCCGCGCGATGAATTGTGGGATTTTATCAGGGAGGTGGCTCAGGACAATGGCTTCTGGTCAATCTAGTCAGTTTCAGAGTTATACCACTGAAGGCAAAGGGAAGTGGGGTTGGTTTTGGTTTTGAACCAGGAGCTGACCGAAGAGAAACAGGTATGCCAGGCTTGGTGGTTCAAGATTCTAAATGCCAACTCTTCAAGAAAGTTGAAGCAGAAAAACAAAACAAAACAAACAAAATCCAAGGCCAGTCGAGCAGTGGTGCACACACGTAACCCCAGCACATGGGAGGCAGAGGCAGACAGATCTCTCTGAGTTTGAAGCCAGCCTGGTCTACAAAGTGAGTCCCAGGATGACCAGGCAGGGCTGCACAGAAAAGCCCTGTCTTGAAAAACCAACCCCCACCCTGCAAATAAGTAAGATCTAAGGCAAGCCTGAGCTATGAAATGAATTCAAGGCCAGCCTGGGCACCTTAGTGAGACCATGTCTCAAAATAGAAAAAGGACTAGAGCATTTATTTAGCACGAGGCCCCAGGCTCAGTCCCTAGTACTATGGGGGGCGGGGCGGGGACTTCATGTGATTAGGTGTGTGGAAAGCAGGTTAGAATGTCTTGAAATGGAGAAAGTGTATGTCTGGAGGTATCACAAACAGTGGGCATGGCTAAGTGTGCGCAGGAGCACTGAGGTTCAGACAGTGAATTTCTCTAGGCTACTGGGGGAGGCATAGGGACCTTGCTTGGAGTCCGGAGGTCCAGGTTTGAGACCTGTTTTGAACAACTCTGCTCTGAGCCCATCCCTGGGGACCCAATCCTGGGATAAAAGAGAACATATTGAGTCTGAACTTCCTGCATTGTTACCAGGATACAAGTCACAGCGACGTAATCACAGGCTGCAAAGCACACAAGGGGTTCCGAGCCCTGCCTAAGAATATTCTGAGGAGCTTGTAAAAATCACCAGTGTCGGAACATCATCATTAGAGTTGAAAATAATTGGTCAGGGGTGGAGTCCTATTACAGGTACTTTTTCGAACTCCAAGGAGATTTTATTATAACATGCAACCAGGGCAGAAAAAACATTGCCCCAAACAAATGGAAGGCAATACAAACCATCACCATCGCCGCCACCATCGTCAGCATCACGTCACCCTCATAATGTGTACACTGCACAGGCTAGCTCTTGGGAGACTTGCCAGCTTCTACTTTTGGAAGCACCCAAATTTGTATTCCATTTCTCTCACCGTACGACAGGTCCTCAGACAGAAGCAAACCTGAAGCACCCAGTGGGCCTAATGTGACCACCTCCTTGGGGGCAGCTGTCAGTTCTTGTCAGGAAATTATCTAAGAAACATGCTCATTCCAAAGGACAACAGCAGGCCTGTTTTAGACTCGGGGAAGGAAGCAGAAAACCCAAAGCCAGCTGGAAGACTGAGATTCCTTAGGGATGGGCAGGTGCCACCCGGCCCAGCCCCTCTCGGGCCCTCTAGTTCATACACACAGCTTCCCGGCAGACTCCAGCCAGATTCCTTGCAGCGATGGCTTGGTCTAGACAAAACAAGGCGGCAATAAAAACAAGGCAGGAGGTAATGACTGCCTCTGAATCGCATGTACACCTTGTTTCAGACAGAGGTAAAGCCATATGGATAACACACTGGCTCCAAACTGCAAGGAAAACAATGTCCTGTCCCCAGAGGGGACTGAGGCCCGATAAAGAAGGCTTTTGTCTCCAAAGGAGCCTCTTGGAGAGCCGCACAAAAGTTTCAATTAGCTCTGGCAGATGTTTTTGTCTCGACTCCAAACATGTTATTCAGAAAGTGACACTGGGTAAGAAGGGGGAGATGGGCTAGAAGTCTGTGGTCTCAGAAGTCAGCCCGATATTCTCCTCTGCCAATAGACCAAGTGTCCTTAAAGGGGGCATGGAGCCATGGTTCCTAGTGAAGGAGTTCACATCAAAGAGCAAGAAACCAAGACAGCTTTCCAGCCATAGGAATTAGGGCAATGCTGTGAGAGTGGCCAAGTACAGGCTGGTAGCGACAGGATGGGTGGAAGATGTAACCAGGGACCAAGTTCTCTTGGGGCTCTATAAGTTCCTGGAAAGTCCTTCTTTTGGGGACAGGACTGAAGTGCTGGTGGCTATATGGTATTCCAGCCTGGCAGAGCACCCAAGTACTTAAAAAAATGTGTCTCCCTGTCAACTTGTGGATCAATGCCTATAAAAGGACAAACAGCCCCCATAGACCTCCTAGAGTTCAATCTGGCAAGGTCTGCTCTAAGGAGCCAGCCAGCAACCACTTGGAAGCTTTCTGGGTCACAGTATCTGGGTAACAGCTCTAGTCCACCACGGGAGCAGGTCAGCATCCACGGAGAATATGAGCAAGCTGGCACTCCTGAGCTTCATGCAACGTCACTTACAGACACAGTTTGGTCTCCTAGGCTCAGGTTGGAGGGAAACAAAAGAGAGGAAAGAGGTAAGCAACAAACAAATAAACAACAACAACAGACAGAGATACCCCTCTAAGCCAGGAAGCCAAGGGGATGGACCGCATGCCACAGCTTGGATCTCCAGACCCTGTGCAAACATGCAAATCCTTAAAGCTTTGTCGTAGTCTTCGGGCACCCGGGACTTCGGCGTCACCCAGCAGCATTCCGTGCTTAGGGGGCAATGGGATGCTCAGTGCAGTGCATACGTGTTAAGTCAGAGGTCAACTCAACAGGCCAGGGAACTGTCACAGCCCTGCCGCTGCCGACTTGGAGAATAGTCTTTTGGGACTCAACAATAGGACCTTGGGCTCAGAAGAGTCATGTGGAACAAGAGCTTTGAACACCATTCCTAAAGGTGTAGATGGAGCCCCTCCCCGAGTCCAGAGCTAGGCAGGCATGGTGTTTAGATAGAA